AGGTTTGCAGAGTATTCTCAAACCTCATGTTGATGTGTGTCCTACAGTGAATGTGGTCCACACCTTGGTATGCCTACAAATCATGTGAGCTTGGTAAGAGTATTAGGTTCCCTACATGCTATCCCCAGTTACTGTGAGTCTGGGGTTTTGAATAGTATCCCCAGGAGATTCTGTATGTGTGGTCAGTGGACCCAGTGCTGCAGGAAGCAGGAAGGGGGCCGTGTTCCCTCCCCACAGCTCTCCCTGTCACCTGCCTTGCGGAAAATGAAGTGTATGCGAAGTTACAAGAGGCTGCCAGAGAGAGAGTTTGAACTGCTATCTGGGCTGAAGTTTCAGTTCAATACATTCAGCAATATTTATTGATTATGCTTGGGTTGTTACAGTCAGTATTGATTGACCTGTGACTTAGGTTTTGGAGGCAGGGAGAGATGCTTATTGCTATTCCCTCATCACTGGTCTCGATCCTTGGTCCCTGAAAAGCTACTGTCAAAATGTCCTGTCAGGTAGGGCGCACATCTTTGCAGCACACGACCAGCCGTGTGCCCTGGTGCCACAGAAGCTCAGCAACAGAGAGTCACGTGGGCTCTGCTCAGGGCCCATCTGCTGCTCTGAGCCAGAAAAGCCTCCTTTTTCTCCTGTTATGGGCACTCTGGGTTTACCAGGAATTTCCCAGCCAGCTCTGGAAGCATATTTTTTTAATGGAATTCTTCTCGTCTCAAGGCTAGGGGCCTCACTTTAGCCATGGAATTTTTTGTTTGTTTGTTTAGTTTTCTTCTGCTTGCTGATTTTTAGTCTATTTTCAGGCTCCACTGTCTTTTGAATTCTTGTATTTTCAAATATCCCAGAATTTTTCTTCCCCAGCTTGACCCTGCAGATGTTCCTTGATGGGGATTCAGCTGTTTCTTGATGGCATCATCATAAGCCACTCTCTCTTTTGTTTTTTTCATATTTTATTTATTTTTTATTTTTTTATTTTTTTAATCAGTCTTTATTGTTCATATTATTACAAAGGTTCCTCATTTCTTCCCCCCTCCACCAGGTTCCCACCCACCCTCTGCCCTTTCCCCACCCCCCATTGTCCTCATCCATAGGTGCACAGTTTATGTTCAGTCTCTTCCCGAATCCACCACTGCCCCCCCCCCCCCCCCCACACACACACACGAATTGCCAGTCCACTCCCCTCCGGTATCTCTGATTCTATTATAATCAACAGTTAACATTGTTCATCAGGTTTTTTAATTTCCTTGTTTTTTTTTTAATTAATAAACTTTTATATTTTTAAGAATAAATTTTAAAATCTAATAATTTTAAACCTTGTTTTTTCTGCCCTGGGAACTGAGAAGCAAACTTGTTTACATGTAAACTTGCCCCTATGCTATCAAAAGGCATAGCCATTCAAATGTAAATGGACACATGGTTTAAAGATAGCTGCTGGCTGGAATTGGATTACCTGTTCTGGGTGGGAAGGACTTGTCCTCCCCTTTCTCCATTGAAATTAAGGTGTTAGCTTTAAAACCTCTTTGGCAAGAGACCTTAAACTTTCAAAACTTTAAATTTTTCAGGTAGTAAATCAGTTACTTAGCATTTTCTCAAATCAATAATACCTCCACATGCCCAAGGATACACTTCACACAAAAGACACTTCTAAATAGATCAACCAACCTCATCCAGGCCCCACACAAGGCACTCACAGATCAAGACCCCAGCACTATAATAACTCAACACCTCCAGATCTAAGCCTTCATCACTTGATTCAGCAGACCCTCAAGTTCCCCCAAAAGTTTCCAGCCATGTCTGAGAAGCTGCCCTGGGGCATGGGCAGTCAAGCAGCGAGCTGTTGCGGCCCGGCTGCTTCGGGCCTGGCCTCTGTTGCTCTGGTCCGCTCCACAATCAGCTGTTCTGGGTCTAGGCCCGGGCCCGGCTGCTCCGGGCTTGGCCCCTCCCGGCCTGGATGCTGCTGCTCCGGGCCTGGCTGCTTCCAACCCGGCTGCTCCGGGCCCGGCCGCTCCGGGCCTGGCTGCTCCGGGCCTGGCTGCTGCTGTTCTGGTTCTGGCTGCTGCTGCTCCGGGTCCAGCTGCCAATGCCCTGGGCCTGGCCACCACTGCTCCAACATTCTGTCTTTTTTTTTTTTTTTTTTTTTTTTTTTTTAACACATTTATGTTTCAATGTTGGCTGCTGAGTTGAGTTCTGTCTTAATCTTCAATTTTTCAGGATCTTTTTTTTATTCTTTCTTAAGTAATTTTACTATCTTTTGCTATAACTTGATTTCTTCACATTGAAAACTTCTTCGGTTTCTTCCTCCTCGCCCTGGAAGCTTAGCAGGCTAGCCAGCAGCGCCCCTTTGTTCTCTGCGGCCTTCTGCGCGGCTTCAGCCTGTTGCTGGGGTCAGCGCTACCTAGGAAGCAGCCCCCGGCCTCGGCTCCGTGGCCCACGATCAGCAGTCGAGGGGCCAGTGGCACCTCCCCCCCAGGGGCCCTGTCGCCTGGCTCCTTGCTGGCACCCAGCTTGCTGGTGCCTGGCAGCAGCTCCCGTTCCTCATCTCCTTCTTCCCAGACTGGAGTTTTTGTCTCCTTCCTGCTAGGGCAGTCTAGCATCAGAGTCCACAGACCGTCCTCTGCGCGCAGTGTGCGCGACTCCGGGGGCTCTGCTTTTCGCCGCTCCCCTGGGATTCCCCCTCACAGCCCCGTCTCCCTCTGTTTGAGCCTGGGTCCCAGGGTCTGGCCTAGAACTGGGGTTCAGTGCTGTCGGTTCTGAGGTTTAGCCAAGTCCGGGTCTTTTATTTCCTTCCTGCTAGGGAACGCCAGCAAGGAACTCAGCCTCTCCGGCTCCATCCTCTTCGTGCGCGCGCAGCTTGTCTCTGTACCTTAGGTTTTTACAGCTCCTGATTTTCTTTCTGGTTTTTTCTTTCCTTCTTGTAGAATTTTCAGTCATTCGACTTCCTGTAGCTCTGGGCAATGTCCATTTTATATTTTAGTTGTATTTTATTGAAATTGTTGTGTGAGGCTGCGGTTAGGTGTTTACCTATGCAGCCATCTTGGATCCTCCATAAGCCACTCTCAAAAAGAGCCATGATCTCAGGCTGAGCCTGGGGTGCCTGGGCCCCGGGTAGGTGTGTCAGGAGAGCCTGGCTGCTCCCCTCACTTGTGCAGAGGCCGCTGGAGGCTCTGGGAGGCAGTCAGTGCTCCCGTTGTGTTTGTTGTTTGGCTGTTGCTCCCTTCCCTCCTCCCTGGGTGCTTTGCACAGAGCTCACGGTTGCAGGTGATAGAAACATGCGTTGCTACTGGTTACAGGTGGGCTTGTGCAGCTGAGAGTCCAGGGAGAGGTTCACAAGATGGTCTGTCTTGCTCCTTCTGGCTGCTTGCTTGCTTCTGTGTCAGCTTCAGACTTAGGTAAAGCCTGGCCCTGTAGTGGCTTCCAGCAGCCCAGCAACCCTGCGGGCTTCCTAGTGGTTTCAGAGCCCATCCAGAGAGGTGGGTCTGAAGGAGGTCCCGTCTGGATTGTCGGCCCTTGTTCTAGCCACTAAGGCTGGGGGCTCGTGGTGCTCCGACTGATGGGGTCTGAGTGGCCTGCTCCTGGAAGACCAAGGCAAACGGATGCTGCACAGGCAGAAAGAACAGATTCCATTTCTAGTAAAGATTCTTTGGCTTAAAGAACCTCCCGAGTCCTGGGGACTAACTGCAGAAGGGTGAGTGTCTGAATAGTGAACAGTCTGTGGCTTTGAGATGGAGTCTCCAGAGCTCCCAAGGCCTTTGGAAGACCCAGAGCAGCTTCCCGCACGACCGAGAGGTTCCTTCTTCGCCTTTGGCTAGATTGATCAAGTCATCGTGGTTACCAGTACTTATCTCATGTGTGTCAGTCATTTTGCTGCCTTCACTCAAAAAAATCTAAAGCTGTAACAATTGTGTAAACTCACTTGCTTCATTCACCACCTATGGTAAAATCCTTCTAAGTAATCCTATATAATAAAAGCATAATATGCAAATTGTCCCCTTGACTAGGAGTTCCACCAAGGGGAGGGACTGGCCAGCCAACTGCCCATGGTCCCTCCACCCGGTTGGCCCCGCCCCGGCCGGCAATGGCAGCTGCTGTGGTGGCAGGCAGCCAGGGGAAGCGAGGGCCTGACCAGCAGCTGGCAGTCAGCAGCCGCTAGGGACCCCTACCTGTGCACGAATTTTGTGCACTAGGCCTCTAGTACCTGATAATAGCGTTAATGTAAAAACATTCAAACCTGTGAAGAGTTTTTATGAGTTTATTTGAGCCAAACTGTTGACAATTGCCAAGAAACAGAATCTCAATGGATTGGAAGAGTGCTCTGGAGAATGGCAGGTTTTCACCCTGTTTTATGCATTGCAATCAGAGGAGGAGTTGTACGTGGGTCACATGAAATCCACTGGTGACAGGTGAGGGAAGCGGGAGAAAGCAAAGCCGAGAGGGGATAAAAAGTAAAACGACAGGCACATGCTCTCTTTACTTAGGGGTGCAGGCTAGTTCACAGCCAACATTAGCACGATGACAATGACGGTGAAGGGATTTGTGGTCTCTCTTCTGCACCCAGGTACATTTGGTTGTACCCCAACGGAGGGGGGCGGGAGGGAGTTACAAGTTACTCTGACATTTCATAGGTATGTCATCTTAGATGCAAAAAGACAATAGGCTCAGGCAAGGTAAAAATTGACCTTGTCAGGGAAAATACAGGCCTACGACATAGCTACCCACCATAACTGCTTTTAGTTGAAGCTTTAATTTCAGACATCCTTGTGGTTACTTTAGGTCTTTAAGTTTGCAAGACTGCCACGCAGGCCTTCCCCGAGGCTGTCAGGTTAGCATGTGGCCCCTTTCCCCTACAATGGAAATATTTCTAAAGGCATTTCTAGTTCCTGATGTCCTAGTGGCATTTGTCCCTTCAATTGTCAGCATATGGTTTATGAAAATGAGTCCTGCCACTTTTTTTCTTCTAGTCTACATCTTACAAAGTTTATTTTCCCTTCTTGTTTTAACAGTGTCCCCACTACCCTCCCATATCGGTCTTGGAGGTCCCATAAATGGCTGCATGTTTGTGAACTTACCATATTGTCGCACGCTTGAGTGAAGAGCCCAGAAGGTAACAAGTTACCCTCATTTTAGTTGCTTTTGCATATACATTAGTTCAGGCTCAGCAAGTTGGAGAAAAGAAACCTGGCAAATTGAGAAGGCAATTTGAACCAGGAGGTCAGGGTTCGATTCCTAGTCATTGGAATCACAGGGTTTGATTCCCAGTGGAGGCATTCATTCAAAAGAGAGTGAGAAGAAGACACAATTCAGACTCTGGAAAAAACACCGTGTGTGTATTTGAGGATGGTGTGTTTGAGGCTGGCTTTGGGAGGAGGTACCTGGCAGATGTTTTTGGGGAGCGGGAGGGGCTTACTTACTGCCCAATCTGAGGTTGAGGGGACGATGTTTTAAAAATGGGAAAACCGAGGTCTGAGTAGGACAAGTGCGACACAGTCTTCAGGCTGGAGGAGCCTAGGAGAGCTGGGCTGGGCTGGCGCTGCTGTGTCCCCCAGCCTGCTCAGCTCACAGGCCCTCTTACAGGTGGGCTTTTGGTTGTGTGCGTGTTGTTTTTTTTAATTCTCACCTGAGGATATTTTTTAATTGATTTTGAGAGAGAGAGAGAGAGAGAGAGAGAGAGAGAGAGAGAGAGAGGACATGAATGTGAGAGAGAAACATCATTTGATTGCCTCCTGTACGTGTCCTGACTGGGAATTGAACCTGCCATCTAGGCATGTGACCTGATCTGGAATCAAACTCAAAACTTTTTTGGGTAAAGGATAACACTCATCAACTGAACCACCTGGCCAGGGTGGAATTGCTCGTTTTGATCTGCAAAGATTTGGATGAGATGGGTAACCCATTTGGCCATGAAAATAATTTCTCAAAGCTGCCTTTGGGTGTTTTATCCTATCAGGAATTTTTTTTTAATGTGTTTTTATTGATTTCAGAGAGGAAAGTAGAGGGGGAGAAAGATAGATACATCAATGATGAGAATCATTAATCAGCTGTCTCCATGTGCCCTGACCTCCTGATCGAACCCTGATCTCCTGGTTTATAGGTTAAATACAATCTACTTAGCAGTGCCAGACCTATCAGGAATTTATCTCCACATCTCAGCCTTCCCACATTTGCTAGTCTGAAAATGGCTCTTGTCTGTAGCTTGAAGAAAATGGCAGGCAGCCATTCATATTACATAAACCTTATATATATATATATATTTTTTTTTTTTTTGAATATAACAAGCATTTTATTAGCTTTTTCCTTCTTGAGGCCTATTTCAGAGACTGCTAACAGATGTCTCTGAGGTGGAGCCTGTGAGGGCCGCCCCTGCCTTGGTCTGCAGCCCATTTCTCTTCCCAGCCTGCACCTGTCAGCAGTTTCACCCTGACCTCGCTCACAGGAACTCTGCCCTCTCTCTGCTACTAAAGGCCTGGGAGACTGCGTGGGTGCCCTGGCTGCCCCTCATGGCCTCTTCCTGGTCTTTCTGGGAGGACACCAGGTCCAGCCTTTCTGGCCCACCCCCCAAGGTGGCAGGACTAGAGAAGGACAGCAGAGCCCAGCATACCACGTCTCCCTCTGGGAATTGTGGTGTTTTGTGTGTGATTTTTCATTATATTGTCAACCATTTGGGGCCTTTTTACCAGGATGGTTTGCTGTCATGCTTACCTGAAGCTGCTTTCAGACCTGGAGGAAGGTGATCCCAGCTCTACCTGCTTCTCCGTGAGAAGTGGGACAGTTTACCTGCTGCACGCCAGATGGAATAAAAAGGATGTGCCATGTTCCTGGCACATCGCACAGCCCGGTCTGAGTGCCTCCGGACGTTACTGCCGGTTTTGACGAGTGTGCTTTAATCTGGGAGATGCTTATTAAATATCAGAGTCTTTTTTTCTTTTCGAGGCCCACCCCATCTCTGCCAGCACTGAGTGTTGCTGTAATGAAAACAGTTAAAATCAGGTGTGCAGGTCACTGTGAGGGTTTCTGTTCCTGGCCCTCTGTCAGGCCTGACCGCGCTCGGGGAGCCGCCAGGTAGTGGAGAGGCTGAACTTCCCGCCTTAGCGGGAGCTCTGTGCTGTGGAGGCAGAATGCAGACATATTGGAGGGGCCACGTTGGCCAGAGCAGAGGACTGGTGTCACCAGGATGAAATTACGAGCTGTCTTTCTCATTCGTACGGCAGCATGTGCTGAGTGGTCACTGATTGCATATCCTGTGGCTTTCCCCGCCGAATACCTTACTCTTTCGACTGCCCACTGCCTGCCGGGGCTTTTGGTAAAGGGGGTTGTGCACTGTTTGTCTGGCAGAAGCCTTGCAGCAGCCTCGCAGCGGCTTGATAGAGAGAAGGACACGAGGAGGGGAGAAGGGAGGAGGCTAGCCTGGTGGTGGCCTTAAACTGCTCAGGCTTCAGGTTCCTATCTGTAACGAGGAAGAATAATCTTTATCCAGAAGGTTTTCATGAGCTTTCAGTGAGACAGCCTGGCCTGAGAGCCGCAGAAGGCATAGGCTGTGGGTGGTTGGGGCAGTGGGTGGTTGGGGACGGGGCAGTGGGTGGTTGGGGACGGGGCAGTGGGTACAGGGCAGTGAGTGGTGGGCAGCTTTGTATCCAGATACCAGCTCTACGGCTCTGTCTTTGGCAGTCCCTGGAGTCTCCTGGACTTTTCCTCACTTTATAAATGAGGAATGTCACTGCTTCCTATTTATACCTTCAGGTCTCCTCAGCTTTGAAGACCACTTTGAGGGTAATTTCTGGTAAAAGTTCTTCCCGTGCCTGCCTTTGCTGCCCCAACCGCCAGCTGAGCTGGCTTTGCATCTTCAGATCCCCTCTGCTCCATCCCCTGGCAGACTGGCCTTCCTGAGGAAGGGGCATTGTTTTCGGTCTGTTTCATAAGTTTATGCAACAGGATTTACATGATGTCAGGCACAGCACTAGGTGCTGGTCTTCATCGATGAAAAGGCTAATGGGTCACCACACCTGTGCACAGCGCCATTATCAGACACATGGCCTCCCTCTAGCTCAGCAGATGTTTCTTCTTGGAGAGGGAATGACGTGTTTGGGGCATAGGCTGGGTGAGCCAGCTAATGCACAGCCCGAGCCTCAGTGTCCTCCTCTGGAATGAGGGGCTGGGCTAGACCCACATTACTTCTGAGCTGTGCTATACAGCGCGGGCCAGGGGCTGGGGACTCGGAAGTCCAGCTGAGCTCCAGAAGAGGAGCTGGGAACCCTTATCCAGGGTTCCTTATCCACAGTCCAAGGAAGGGTTGCTCATGGAGAAATCTGGGCAGTGTTAAGCATGAGGACCAACGCCCGGTGTTACAGGTTCAGATAGGCATTTTGGGGTGAAATCTACTGAGAGGAGAGGCTTTCTTATTCCCAAAGATCATTTAAAACCAGTCAGGACCAGCCTTCCCAGCGTGGCTTCAGTAGTTGGCTTTTGCTGTGCAATGAAGACAGCCCATAGGAGAGCCGTTTCAATGGAAGCCTTTTGAAAATAGAAAATAGTGATAATGTTTACTTCTTTCCTTCCAAAGCCTTAAACTTTAATTTTTACTCACTGTTAACCTGCCATACTGATCTTTTAGTTTGAAAGGAAGATGGAATCTCATCCTAAGGAGGCTGGAGTATGTTCAGTTTGCGCCCCTCCCACCCCCATGTCCCAATACCTGCTGTTCACAGTGTCTGTTCCGAAGCCGCCTGCTGTCGGAGGCGCTCATGCACAGTGAGTGTTTTTCTTTCTTTCTCCAGGGCATGGCTTCCAGCTTCTCAGAGCTGAGTCTCCAGCAGAGGAAAAAGAAATGACTGTTGGGGGCCTTGCTCCAGGTCTGTTACGGGGACTGAACCTTCGCTGGGTGCGAGCTTGCTCAGGACAGGAAAGCTTCTCTCTTTGAAGGGCTTTGCATTTGTTACAAAGAAAATAAAGATGACGACTTCGTCAATCAGACGGCAGATGAAAAACATTGTGAACAATTACTCAGAAGCAGAAATAAAAGTGCGGGAAGCCACCTCCAATGACCCCTGGGGCCCATCCAGCTCCCTGATGACCGAGATCGCGGACCTGACCTACAACGTGGTGGCCTTCTCGGAGATCATGAGCATGGTGTGGAAGCGGCTCAACGACCACGGCAAGAACTGGCGGCACGTGTACAAGGCGCTGACGCTCCTGGACTACCTCATCAAGACGGGCTCGGAGCGGGTGGCTCAGCAGTGCCGGGAGAACATCTTCGCCATCCAGACCCTGAAGGACTTCCAGTACATCGACCGCGACGGCAAGGACCAGGGCATCAACGTGCGGGAGAAGTCGAAGCAGCTGGTGGCCCTGCTCAAGGACGACGAGCGGCTGAAGGCCGAGAGGGTCCAGGCCCTCAAAACCAAAGAGCGCATGGCCCAGGTGGCCACCGGGATGAGCAGCAACCAGATCACCTTTGGACGCGGCTCCAGCCAGCCCAACCTCTCCACCACCTACTCAGAGCAGGAGTATGGCAAGGCCGGGGGATCGCCAGCCTCCTATCACGGCTGTGAGTAGTGGGAATGTGCCTCACCCTTTGCCAGGAGCGCTGGGCAACAGCTGGGAGGTGCCCTTAGGCTGAGCGAGATGGTGCGTCATCTCAGCCTAGACAGGCCGCCTAGACAGCAGTGTTCCTTCGTCCGCTCTGAGTCACTGTCACAAAGGGCTTTCGGCCTGTGGCTGCTTTGCTCCAGTGTCTCAAGAGCCTCTGCTTCTGAGTTGCTGCCGCACATGTAGGCAGGACTGCCTCCGGGGGAAGGGGAGGAGGCGGGCCTCCCGTGTCCTGCTGGGAGGGCTGCGTGAAGGGCTGCCTGCCGCACACACGGGGGGAGGAGGCTGTGTTTGGTAGCTGGGAGGAAGCAGGTGATTTTTCTGGACAAGCTTGTTTCTTTAATCTCATATCATTGTTTTTTAATGATTGGGCTACAGGTCTCCTGACCGGCTCAGTGTACTTTCTGCTTTGGCATCACAGGGCACGAGGTGGTATGTCTCTGTGCACTGACACGGAGAAAGCAAGGCCTCCGCAGGTGTTCCTTTGGGCAAGGGCTCCTTTTCCCACCTGCACACGAGAGTTCGTGTGGTTGGTTGGCATGGCTGGGTCCGTGCGGGGACTGCTGTTTCCTCATTTTGCATCGGATCACCCTTGGCCCAGTGTTCGGAAGAGGTGGCAGGATCAGAAGTGGTGTTCAGGCCTGATGGAAGCTGGCCTCTGTGCACAGCATGGCGTCCGGGCGCTCCCTGAAAGGGGTCTCCGGATCGCGCCTCGGCCTTCACAGGGCGGTGGGGAGAGGCGGCCCGGCCTGCGGGTGGGCTGCAGTGGGGGATGCAAAAATAAAATATAGGTCCCTATGCTCTCTCTTTCTGGTATCGGTGACACGTAGGTCAGCATAACAAAAACTTTCTAAAGGAAGTTTTAGCAGACCCTTGCTTAATCAGTGGTCTGCTAACATTTCCTCCTTTTGCAGGTTTCAGTTTGACATTGCACAGCCACCAGGAGCATTTTGAGACATGTGTCAGATAGGAAAATTGCATAGTAAAGCCAAATCCCTGCCTCTAGAAATTGTAAAGTATCGCCAAGCTGGGAGAGGTTAGCATTTTCTTGTCCCGTCAGTTCCTCACTTAGTTTGAACTCTGCTTAAGCAAAGGGTGTGACCTTCATGAAAGCCTGCATCTTGGAAAAAATATAACCTGCGTCTCCAGAGTCCAGGCGAAGGTGCCCAAAAAATACAGACTGCCCTTCAACAGTGAAGTTGCTTGTTTCTCTCAAGTTACCTCTCTCCATCCTCCAGAAAGGCCTCCTGTGGGTTGACTTGGTCTCCAGGCCCTTGGCTTCCTCTTGGGAAGTGGCTGTAGTTGTGCTGTGTGGCCACCGGGAGCTGCCCCTCTTCCTACCTGCCCTTTGAGTCATTGTTCTCAAGAAGCCAGAGGCCACGGAGCGAGGGGCTGGAATATGCTTTTGTTAGTAGTGTGTAGGAGGCTCCAGTGGCAGGGAGGTCATGGAGGGTGCAGGTGGGTGCCTGGCCGGGGCCTCTCATCACAGGTCCTGCCGGCCTTACACTGGGCTGCCTGCTGCTGCCGTGTCCCAGCTCGACGGTTTCTGGTTCCCTCAGACCTTGAGCTTGAGCAGCAAGTTCAGGGTCAGAATGTGGTGGGTCAGCAGGCTGTTCACTGCCTCTGAGAACGCCAGGCAGGCTCTGGCCTCCGCTGGAACCTCTGCCACTCCCACTTCCTCTAATGGCCTGTCTTTTTCTGTGTGTGTGTGTGTATGTCCCTGCCCAACAGCGCCCGAGACCTCGCTGTGCCCCCAGCACCGCACGGGGGTCCCGCTGGGTCAGAGCGAGGAGCTGCAGCCGCTGAGCCAGCATCACCCCTTCCTGTCGCACCTGGGGCTGGCCTCCCACCCAAATGGTGACTGGGCCCAGCCCTGCCTCACTTGTGACTGCGCAGGCCGAGGTGGGATGGCAGTTTGCTTTTTCCTTCCTAGAAATGCTGGGCAGCTTGCTGGGGGGTGTCATGTCAGTACAGCCAACTCTCCGTGTCCTCTGGGCCTCATGGGCCAGACTCCAGAAGACAAGGCCGTTTCTTCCTCTCCCAGGAGCTCAAGTCCTGGCCGTGCTCCCCTCACACTGCCATGTCACTTCCAGAAGTTCTGCCTGAGGCCTAAGAGGGGAGCTGCTGTTGGGTCAGCCGGGTGGCTGTCCATGCTGTCCTGTGCCCCCATGCCCTGAAAAACGTGGAGGGGCTTTCCTGTCTGCCAGACCCAGGTGCAGTGGCGGACCAGACCACGAGGCTTGTTGAGCCGGAAAGGTGTGGCTTAAGCCTCCCAATGCGGCAAACCCGAGGACCGCGGAGGATGGCCGTTGGAAGCCATCGTCCTTGATGCAGTGATACGTGCCTGGCTGAGGACAAATGGGATTGTTTTTGCTTCTCAATTAACTGCTGTTCTTCCTAAAATCCCCATTACAGTGGTAAACAGAGAGTTAGCTGTACTGTCAATTCTAGGTCACAGTGTTTGAAGATACCTAATTCAATGGGTAATTAAAAATGGGGCTTCTCTTTTGACTAATTAATAATGTATCCTGGTCAGAGACTACAACCATTGCAGGTTAAACCGAAAACAGATTGCTGTGTTGCCTACAGGAAAATGCTCTCAATCTACCTGCCTCAGGTCCCCCGTGGGGCCCCGCCACAGAGAAGAAAGCTTTATTAGAAGGGTGCCAACAAAGAGCCTTTGTGAGCCGCCCAGTAAGGTGTGGCCAGCCTGTATTCAGGCTGGAAATAGGGACTGTTTATTCCTGCTCATTAATTCTGCAGGGTTTGGGATGTGGGCATTTGTGTGATCACTGTATTTAGCTCTGGGACATTTTCCTTTGTGCCCCGTCTTCCTCAAACAGTTTATAGAGGACTTTGTAAGGAGGGCCGGCTTTGCACCCTGTTCCCAAGGAGCTCCCAGAGTGCTGAGCTGCAGGTCTGCCTCCACCAGACCTTCGGGGTGCTCCCAGCAGGCCCCACGCTCCCAGACTCCAGGATCTCCCCTTTGTTTTCCAGGTTCTACCCTTTTAGTAATGGGCAGGGCCTATGGTGTGCTCAGTGGTTAGCTTGGTATTCACTGGCCCTCCAGCTCCTCTGTTGGCAGGCTGCCTCTCCTGGGACCTGGCATTACAGTCACTCCTCCCACTCTGCCGGGACCAGACACCCTGCTCCACCAGCCCCTCTGCCCCTCTGCCCGCAGTTCCTTCCACGTGGGGGCCTCCCTGCATATCTGGCAAGGTGGATTTCTCTTCTTCAGCTCTGGAAGGAATTAAGGATAAAAATGAGTTTTATTTATTTTTTTGAGGATTTCTCCCACCCTAGATGAGTTTTGGGCAAGCAAGCGTTTCACAGTGTCATGTGTCATGCTTCACCATGTGTTCTTCGCACGCTCCAAGGCGGGGCTGCGGGGGCAGGGCCCTGTCCTGTGACTCCTCTCTTCTTTCTCAGCACCTAGCAAAGTGCTGAGTGGAAGGTAAACGCTAACATATGCATTTTGGCAGACTTGCTTTGGACACACTTGCTTGGAACCCAGCAGTGGAGAAGTCAGACTGACCCAGCACTTCATGGCAGGCTCCTGACATTTGTGAGAGGCACACTTGGTACCCAGACCCCTCAGGGAGGCCCGGGAGACACGGTGCAGACTCAGGCAGGGGGCAGGGAAGGCAGCTGTGAGAAGACCTCTTGTGTTCGCACCCACAGTAATGGTGGCGTTTGAGGAGAGCTTCTCTTCCTTCCATACCCATGTACCCTCCTGTGCGGCCTCCCTCCCTCATCTCCCCAGACACCACAGGCCTCCTCCAGGAGCCTCTCCAGGGCTGCCCTTCAGCTCTAGCTCCTGCCCTCCGCTCCCTGCCAGCTTCTGGCTGGCTTCTTCCCCATTCTTACCCGCCCTCCCGCTTCGTATTGTACACCAGGTTCTGATCTCAGGTCGCAGAAGGCTCCCCTGGATCCAGGGGTCCCCAGAGGGCCCAGCTCCGAGCCTTCGGCGTGGTGGACAATTCCCTCTCTGGTGATCTTTAGTTGTCCCTGCCAGCTTGAGTCTGCCGAGGTCTGCCTTGGCTACCACTCTGGGTGAAGCCTGCCCCAGCTGCACTCGAGCTCCATGTTTCCTTGTTCATTCATCAGATATGTATTCAGCTCCCACTGTGTGCCAGGCACTGTGCTAACACAAAGCAGGGTCCTGCCACTACTGGTGGAAGAGAGACAATACACATAAGACAGTATTCAGCATGTTACATGATGAGTGCTTTGTAAAACAGCAAAACCCAGAGCAGCCCAGCCCTGGCTGAAGAATAGGGAAGGAGGTCTGGAGTGTTCAGGAGGGGGTCAGAACAAGCCTCTTTGAGAAAGTGATGCTGGAGCAAGGCTGAAGGAAGAGGAGGAATGAGCTGTTGAGCATCTGGAAAAGCACTCCAGGCAGATGGCAGGAGCCGCAGTGCAAAGGCCCTGAGGTGGGAGCTGCTCAGGGTGTGTGTTGGGCAGGAAGGGGGACAGGAAGTGGCCAGTGTGGCTGGAGCTGGTGAGGGAGAGGGTGAGATCAGGGTGGGAGTACAGCAGAGGGCGGGCCTGGAGAAGGGGTAGGTCCACTTCTCAGACTGACTCAGGCAAGGAGCAGTTCTTTCCAGCCTCATCCATCTCAGACTGGTCCTTTTGTGTCAGCGTTTCGTTTGCAGCAATGTCAGGTGGCTATAAAAGCCCGAGTTCTTTCTCTGCCTGTCCTTATGCTGTCCTGTGCCAGATGCTAACTGGACTGGCGGTGAGCTTTTGGGTCATTACAAACCCTTGGCTTTCACTCAGTGAGCTAGGGAGGTATGGGTGGGTTTGGCACCGAGGAGGGACTTGATCCAGTTTAGGGATGAGCAGGCTCAGGGGCACCCTCTGGCTATGTATGAAGCAGGGCTGGCCCAGGAAAGCCAGTCAGGAGTCCACTGCCCTCCTCCAGGTGGGAGACGGCATGCCTAGATCTGATGGGGCTGTGGAGGTCTGGGTGAGAGTGACAAGGCTTGCTGGAGGACTGGACCAGGTGAGAGGAGTTTGGGACAGCTCTGATGACTGTCTCCCCTGGCGAGAGGGCGCCCGTGAGCAGAGCAGAAGTGACAGAGGCGGGATTGTGTTCTGGACACGCTGGCGTGCCTAGCAGGCTCGCAGGTGGAGGTGTGGAGGAGGTCTGAGGAGTCCAGGGCGAAGGGAGCATCCAGGCTGGAAGGTGCCTTCTGCACTCAGGCCTCCCCGCACTCACATGGTTTCCTCGTTCCCGGGGAGCTGGCTCCTGGGCCCGCCTGTGCCGGCTGCCTCCCTTGGTCATGGGAGTGGTCAGGATTGCTGTGTGCAGGTGGAGCTGTGGGACCCTGAGGAGGGCTCTTGGGTTGTGATGGGCTGGGTTTTGCTTAAGACGATCTAGACTGGGTAGACAGACAATCTAGACAAGGTAGCCAGCTTGTATGGAGTGAACAGCCCACTTGCCCCTCTGCCCAGGGCTCTGTCCACCTTCCCACATTCTGCAGAGCCACTCACGATGCTCAGCAGGCTGTGGGGAAGGTGTAGCTGTTCTGGGGTGGCGGGAACCCATATCAAAGGCACCGCAGGGTTGGGAGAATTGTCCCTGTGAGTTGCTGGAAGCCTAGAAGGAAAGATCGCTGCTGTCCTCTGACATCGATGCTCCAAGGTCCAGGGCTAGACCTCCCGCCCACCCCCCTCTGGGCCTCGGTTGGCCTCCACAGAGGGAGGGCTAGTGAAAGGAGAGAAGGCCCACTCACTGCTCGGCTCCCTTTGTGGGGCTCCTGCGTCTGTGTCCGAGCCAGGCCCACGCTTGCCTTGCTGCAGTGTGATCGTGACCATGACCGTGTCCGGGTGGCTGGTGCTTTGGGTTTCTGGGTCAGCTTTCCCATTCTTAGGAAAGGAGAAAACGGAAGGAAGGAGGAGGATAGAAATCCTCATTGCTCTCTGATTCCTTCAGGTGGAGGAGAACCAACCTGAGGCCCCAGAACCGAGTGGGCAGTGGTGTGCTTTGCAAGGGGTGGGTGCTGCTGCCTGTGCCAGGTCTCGCAAGCTGTCCGATGAACCCTGCTGGTTGACACCTTCAGCACTCTGGCCGGTGCTGCCCTGTGCCATATGCTGCCTGTGGGGGTTCAGGTCTGTTCCCAGGGGGCGCCAGAGTTCCCGTCAGGCCAGCCTTTCCTCTGGGCCGGGAGCCCTGCACACAGGGAGGTCCCCTTGCACACCGTGGGCAGTGATTCACCATATTCATTTCATGTATTTGCCCTGCTTCACTTTAGAAAGCATTGCAGTTGGCATTGTCAGAGGATTATATAGATACCAGAAGAAAATTGGGCAAAAGGAAAACAAGGATAAGAAAATGAGACAAGGCAAGGGTCACACATAACTGCTGGAGATTTGGCTTTGAACTTCTCGGCCACCAGCACAAAGAGGACAGTTTCTCTTTGGCTGCTGAACAAGAGTCCTGGATGCAGATGAGGTCCGGGAGGCCAAGTGCTCCCTGTGAGGAGAGGCAGGGCCTGAGCCTGGCTCTCCATCCTGGCTGCTCTCACGGTCTGCACGCAATCTCTCGCCGGCAGTGGAGGGATGGATGGCCCCCCCACTCCCTCATGGAGATCAGACATTTTTTTTTTTTAAACAAAGAGTTGTGATTTTTTTATTTTTTTTATTTTTTTTAAAGATACTTTGAGAGGAAGGGAGATAGAGAGTTAGAAATATCGATGAGAGAGAGTCATCGATCAGCTGCCTCCTGCACATCCCCCACTGGGGATATGCCCGCAACCAAGGTACATGCCCCTGACTGGAATCGAACCCAGGACCTTTCAGTCCCCAAGCCGACGCTCTATCCATTGAGCCAAACCGGTCTCGGCAGATCAGACATTCTTAAACGTTAGAGAGATTCTGAAAGCTGTTGCATGCATGGT